AAATGACTAGACCAAATTTTCCATTATTTAAATTTAAAGTTGTGGGTTTAGGAGATTTTCAGTTTCTAGATAATTTTTGTTTTTAAGCCAGTTTGATACCGCTTCTTTGCAGGACATTCTAGTGAGAGGGTATATGGACAGCACGTTATTGGTTTTGTTATAAAGGTACGAGCCCAGAAAACAGTAGAATCGCTGTGCGTGTTTGGTGTGCAGTGGTTGGCTGCAACAGACCGTGCCCTTTCTTCGCTTTCCTTTCTTGAGATCTGGGTCGTACTGAAGTTCTGAGTGTTTTTTAAGCACTGTTTGCAATATAAACGTTTGTCTGACGGTGATGGAGATATGAATGTCCAAGCTAGGACAATAACTGACGGCTCCGTTTTGTTGGGCTCCGTCGGGTTTTAGTGGGTAGGCCCACATAACCCACTGGTCGTCCCCGTCGGTCAGTATATGCGCAAAAAAGGCTGCAAATACTTCCTTAAAATGATTAAGGATCGACCTAAGCCAACTGATCTATTCCTCATTTTCAGGTCCATCATTGAGGAGCGATCTCTCCGAGTTCCGGAATCTGGTGCACTCCAGGCCCATCCAGTTCACAGCTGCGAACTTCTACAACCTGGACTATGGGCTACTTGTCTCAGTCACTTCTGTTTTGATCACGTATATTGTACTTATGCAGCAAAACTGGAACTATGAGGTCACGGTGTAAAGAATTATTTGGCAGATCATCATCAACTACTACTTCTCAACAGAAGTAGTCGACATGATGAAATATTTTATGCAAAGAGACGCACACTAGGCTTTATAATTAGTTGATTAGAATGTAGTTGATGTAATAGAAATATGAATAGGGACGTAGTCTTTATACAGGGTCTTTTCCCAAAATTAGCACGTCAATCTCAAACTTATAAAACTTTTTTATGGACATGTTAGGATTCGGTGCTACTGAGGCCCAGCTACTTCCGGTTTCACTATCACGTCCTAATTTTGGGATTCCCTGTATAGTTTATGACGTTATAATTCTTCATTTCATCCGATAAAAACTATTTTCTCAATTAATTAAACTTCATGATATTTGAAATTTCAAAAATCCAAACATTCCCAGTAATAATTGAACACAGAATATTCACTGTAGCACATTTTCAAAGGAAGCGTAATCAAATAGAAAAAGAATGGAAACGATGACTTTGCAATATTGCTTTTATTTAGAAGAAAACTGTTAGCTCGACTCAACACAAAAGCAATTAATGTGACTTAACTACAAAGGAAAAGAGAGCAAATTTCATGGAAAAAATATTATGTTAGTGAAGTGAGGAAGCACGCATGGTCCCATGGATATTGGTAGAATAAAGTTCTGCACGTAGTAGACTCTTCTTTTTATTTAAACCTTTTGCCCTTTTAAATGAATGAGGTACGAGAAAATCAATATAAAGGTGTAATAATAAAAAGCTTGTAAAAAAGTGGTTTTCCGTGACTGTTTTATGGTATTTATTAAAACCTTTACTAGCATTTTCATGTAACAATACCGTAATTAATAATCTGGGCTATCATCTACCTCTTGTATCCCGGTACTCGTAATTAGATTGCCCTGTCAACAGGCAGGTGACTGCTACAAACAGGCATACTAACAACCGGCTTACGCTAAACAAACCCGGGTAATTGGTATTCGCCGACTTAACAAGTCACAGAATGACCGGACCAAACTAAACCGGATAAATCCGGTCTATGGCTGAGTTGCACCACCTAACTTTGTCTGTGATAAATTGGATAGTCNCTTAATTTTAAGAAGCATTTATTGTATTTACGATTAGAAAACTTTAATCTAGTGGAGTTTGTATAATCGTACCATCTCTAAAGTACCTATTAATAAACTTCAGTGTTGCGATAATTCGAAATTAAACAAACAGTTTGAAAAGGTGTAGTGTCGGAAAATAGACACGGTGAAGTAAAGTTAATGTTTTTACTAGCTGAAATAATTTTTTTGCTATAGTTTTTTGTCATAAGTATTTCAAAATAATTTATTATTTAATAAGTGCAGTTTTTTATTATTATTTAAATCACTACAGTTAATTATTATTCCTAAATATTACAATTTTTCATTAAAGAAGAATAACAGTGCTGTTGGAACAATAAACCTTGATTGCGACTATGATCGACCGAGCGTGTATAGATACGCGTGTGCAAACAGGCGCGTGGCGGCCCGGACTGATTTGCAACTTGAAGTTGTCGCGCGCTGTAGGTAATTATCTCGGCCGGCATAGGCGAGTGACGGAGGCCTGCCGCGACGAACACGAGGCGGAAACTTTGCGCATCCGCAACGTGCTCACTTAGAGAAATGCCACACGGGCGATGACGTTGCCACAATAGCGTAGCTTACTCCGACGTCACAGCGTTGGTAAAAGTTATATTATTCTTTAAACCACAGAATAATAATAAGTACTACGTACAGAAGTTTTACTTCGCGAAGGTATTTAAAAAAATGTATGCTCAAGGTCATTAACAATATGGTGTAATTTAGCCTGTCTCAAGAGTCAAGCACCATTTTGTTGACAAACGTCAGTGATCGGCACTGCGCCGAAGCTATAGGGCTGACTTCGGTAAAATTATGTGACGTGAGGTGCCAAACTGCGGAAAATGGCGGAGGAAATACATGATTTAGCATGAATTATCATGAATAATATTAACTACTTATTTACCTCTCAGTGTCTTCAGGCAACTTAAAAAAAGTACATTCTGTGTTTTTATTATTATTTAGGCGGTTAAATACTGCATTTTCTTTATTTTTTTCCATCATACACAAGAATACGCGTGCGTGAGTCAATGTTCGCTCGTATGTGAGGCCTTGTCGAATCGTATCCTGTAGGTGGGCCATCGTGCGTGTTTTGTTTTCGATGTAAACTCGCGGAGATGAACAGCCCCCCTAGACAAAACGCACTTTTTGATCGAATCGAAAATCGAATCCGTCAAAACTCCATACAAAAAAGGGGCTTTTCGACCACTTTTCGACTGGTTTGCGATTATAATTTGCACTTTGTCTAGACCCACAGGCCTGTTTAAACTGACACAGCCGTCAGTTTGGCTTCGATATTCAATGAATACTGCGCTGCGCTTCATCTCCGTCATAACAAACCAGCCCGCCTCATCTTGCTGTCAGCAGCGCAGAAATTACGCGTTAAAAGTACATAAGTGTCCTGAATCCGATTACGAGAACTGAACATTACAAAGTTACAACACAAAACTAAGATTCCCTAACTAATTCCCGCCTTAGGCAGTTCGATTTTTTCAAGTTATTTATAATTTTTAAACATTTTCAAACTACACTCGCGAGCAAAACTATGGAATCACTTACATGAAGTTGTTTCCACGCGATCTTGTGTACTAACGAATTTTTTAGTAACAAAAACAGTGGTATCATTTTAAAGATTAAACTTTTAGCTTTAAATTGATACCAAATTCATTTAAATCACACCAGTATTTAAAAAGATATCCCGGCTGATGTGAAGAAGTAAGGAAAACGACATGTATCAACTGTTTGATACGTCGCGAGCTGTGGCCTATTTACCCCCTATAAAAGCACGTGTTTTCGGATTTTAGCTTACACACGTTGTTTCATACACATCTCCGCTTCTTTTGACACTTTACCTGGGATTCTACACCTACAGAAGCAGCACAAATCGTTGCACTATTGCAAGAAGGGCTCAGCCAGCGGGCTGTCGCACGTCAGCTCCACATAAGCCAGTCCTGGGTTTCGAAAGTTTTAAGACGCATTCGGGAGACTGGTGGCTGTATCCCAAGACCAAGTTCTGAACATTGCCGGTGCACATCGCAGAGGGATGACCGTTTTTTCATGTGAACCTCTCTATAAAATCGTCATTTGCCTGGTATCGACGTCCAGCAAGAGCTCAGAAATGTTCGTAGAATAGCTGTTAGCGAGTGGACAGTTCGTCTAAGATATAAGCAATAGAATTTGACTTCAAAAAGGCCTGCCACAGGCTCGAAACTGACGGCAAGTCACCGATAAGCACGCTTTCAATTTGCTCGTACACATCTCGATGGGAAGTCGAGCAAGCCACCCCCATAAGCCACTGTTTCAGCGAACCAGCACTGCACAAATCGCTCCCCAGGCCGCCTATAGACCCGACCTCTTCGAATGCTGCATTGCAAACACAGTCTGCATTCATCGGAGAACAAAACTCGCCTCCATTACTCGCCTTCCCATCAAAATAAGTGCGAGCTAATTAAAAGCGTGCTTGTCGGTGACTTGCCGTCAGTTTCGAGCCTGTAACAGGCCTTTTTGGAGTCAAATTCTATTGCTTATATCTTAGACGATCTGTCCACTCGCTAACAGCTATTCTACGAACATTTCTGAGCTCTTGCTGGACGTCGATACCAGGCAAATGACGATTTTATAGAGAGGTTCACATGAAAAAAAGGTCATCCCTCTGCGATGTGCACCGGCAATGTTCAGAACTTGGTCTCGGGATACAGCCACCAGTCTCCCGATTGCGTCTTAAAACTTTCGAAACCCAGGACTGGCTTATGTGGAGCTGACGTGCGACAGCCCGCTGGCTGAGCCCTTCTTGCAATAGTGCAACGATTTGTGCTGCTTCTGTAGGTGTAGAATCCCTGGTAAAGTGTCAAAAGAAGCGGAGATGTGTATGAATCAACGTGTGAAAGCAAAAATCCGAAAATACGTGCTTTTATTGGGGGTAAATAGGCCGCAACTCGCGACGTATCAAACAGTTGATAATGTATTTTTCCTTACTTCTTCACTTCAACCGGGATATCTTTTTAAATACTAGTGTGATTTAAATGAATTTGGTATCAATTTAAAGCTAAAAGTTTATTCTTTAAAATAGTGCTACTTTTTTTGTTACTAACAAATTCGTTAGTACACAAGATCGCGTGGAAACAACTTCATGTAAGTGATTCCATACTTTTGCTCGCGAGTGTAATTTGAGATCCAACTCTTAACGCTAAAAATTAAATAACAAAACTAAGACCTACCAATCAGCGTCCAGTAGATACTTCAAGAAGTGGTTCAAGCCGTGTTCCCAGGACAGCCACAGCGTTCCTCTGGTAAGGAAGGACGCCACAGTGTTGCGCACGGCGTGGTGCAGCCAGCCCTCAGTGCGAAGCTGTCGCATCGCTGCGTCCACGAACGGGAAGCCGGTGCGGCCGTCGATCCATCTGATTCATTGATTAGAAATCAAACTAAGTACGTAAGATATTATGAAACGCGTTAATTTTTTATTGGGTGGGTTGAGGAGTTAGTAGTTTTATCAAAGGCACAACACCATATCGGAAAGACTCTCTGTTAGTGGATACGAGTGGGTAAAATGATTGAAACTTAGACAAGGCTTTCCATTACAGCTTCTGTAAAGTAATATCCCTCATTATCCCTGGTTCCACCTTCGGATTTTACCTCTGAATCGAAAAAGTTTAGTTTAAAAAAAAATCCTTGGACATTTTACACTGCGCTTCTAGTCCCAAACTAAGCAAAGCTTGTACTATGGGTACTAGGACAACGGATATAAACATACTTAAATATTTTTTTTTTGTAAATACATAACTTATTATACATAGAAAACACCCATTCCAATACAAACAAATATGTCCATGCACACAAATGTTTGTACTGTGCGGGAATCGAACCCGCTACCTCCGGAATAGTAGTCCGTTTCGAACCACTACACCAAACGGCCGACAAGTTTAGTTGTATTCAACAACGGCCGAAAAAGTTTAGTTGTATTCACCACCGGGCGTAGGAATCGAATATGTATCCAAATACTAGTACAGACATCTGACTTACCTCTGTAGCTCATCGCCTTCAGGAGTCTTCCAAGGTATGTCAAGACAGATGGGGTTCCCAGCCATCTGGCCGTAGTTTGGGTTATTCACGCTCATCGTATAGAAGTATTCGCGCCAGATCAACTGGCCTAGAAGGGAACAGAAGAATATCTTATGTAAATTCTATGACGCTTGCTGTATTCGCATCAAATATAATCAACCTAAAATGTTTCTTGCAAAAAGTTTTGTGAGCCAAATAAAATAAGAGTTCCATTACAAATAGGTGAAAGTGAGGATTGACTTTCAAATTTTCTTCAAAGTTAGGAATTGAAGAAACTAGTAAACAAATTGACTATTCTTCAAATTGAATTTTCAGTGGGTACTTATAAATATTTCAAATTTTGTTAGGATGAAGTAATGCGTTGTTTTTTAAAGTTTCAATCGGCAAAAAATATTCTGAACATCTGAAAAGTATGCGAACTTTGCGTCTCTAGCGGACTTTTTTATAACGAAGGAGTGAATGAAATCTATAGTACTGTACGGCTAGCACGAAAAACTTTCGAGTTCAAATAGTTTGCGTACTCGAATCGCCATCAAAAGATTTAGTACGAAAACTACAACAGCGCCCTTGTGAACGTGTCGTAAAGTGAACTTAGTATGAGAAATGGTTGAACTAAACTTATTTTGAGAATCAAAATTGTCACGTTATCGTTTAATTCGAAGGTTGAGTATCGAATTTTGTCGAATACGCAAACGATTCGAAGACGAAAGTTGTTCATGCTAGAGGTACTAAACCACGAACTTACCCGTAATAAAATGAGTGGAGGACAGAGACCCTTGGTGCACCTGACGGAATAGGTCTTGCACGGACCAGTAGAACCTACAAAATAATATGACACAAAGTTAAAAGTCAAAACATTTCATCACATAAGAAAAAGATCTCTCGTTGTTTTCGTGACTTACCTTCTCACGGAGAGACATCCAAATCGGAGGGCAGGGCTCAAAGATATGGGCGGGCCCAGGAGGTCAGGGTTTCCGTGGGTCGGCAAATATGATCCCCTGGAAAATAAACGATCAATATCGTGAGTATCGTTAGTTATTAGTCGCAGACACTAACAACGAAACACTAATAACGAACAACCTTCAAAATACAGAGCTTCGTAAAGTAATAAACAAACGTTTAGGTACAAGTTTGGAGCCGACCATATACAACAGCAGCAGACGACGACGATATTATCATCATAATCATAAAAATACATAGAAACCAGTAGTGTCGCGACAAAACGTCGTAAAATCAATGGTCAAAGGTCAATATCATTTAAAAACATCGTATTCGTTTAAACGTTATTTAACAGTATACTTATTTACTACTAGCTTTCCGCCCGCGGCTTCGCCCGCGTGGATTTTTGTCTGTTACAGAAAAACTTTATCGCGCGCGGCCCTGTTTCAAAAACCGGGATAAAAACTATTCTATGTCCTTTCTATAGCTTTTATAGTTTGAGTCCCCACTCAAACTATCTCTATGCCAAATTTCATCAAAATCGGTTCAGTGGTTTAGGCGTGAAAGCAAGACAGACAGACAAAGTTACTTTCGCATTTATAATATTAGTATAGAAGTATAGATTCCTGTAGTATTAGGAAGTTAAAGGTTAAACATAAGTTTTTGAACGCAGAAAAGCAATAGTCACCTGCAAAAGGTCTCGTGCTCGACGCTCAGCCGCTGCTGCATTTGCTTCAAGGCCGCCGTCTCGCCGCCCACCCAGCGGATCATACGGATGTCTTCGTTCTCCAAGAACACCCCCAGGTCTTCCGGCTTTGGGGCCTGATTCATTCATATTATTTAGGTATCTGTTAGGCTCAAAAGACAGACAACACGTGTGTATTTGAACGCGTCTTACAATGCATTGTAGATTGTGGACTGTGAAACCCCCACATTAAGAAATTCGTTAGCTTAAGTCATTTTTGTAGGAGTAATCTTCCAGAACTTCTGCACGATAAAAATCTGAAAAATCTTCCAAGTATTTTATGAAAATATACGAGACAGGATACGGTTGCGCAGGGGATACTTTAACATTTTTTTGAATTGCAAATCGATTGCATCTTGTATAATGTGATAGTCATTCTTAATTCATGAGCAATATCAATGTGGAAATCATTGGGGAAGGTCCATATTCAGTACGTCTTCTTCTTAAATTGATGGAAGACTCTAGAATCCATAGATCAAAGTGACTTTGAACTGTTTTCTACCCACGGTAGGTCTAAAATGTTACACCATATAACTTGCGTCATTCACTCAAGTATTCAAATTGACTGGATTTTGTTCTAACCTTGTCAAAGACAGTGAATTCTTCGTAGAAGCACAGCGGCAGGCTTCCGAACTTGACGCCTGACAGTTGCACGTCATCCACTGGCCTTGGGGGGTCGCCGATGGTGGCTACGGTATGCTGAAACAAGCAAATGTGGCCTCAATGTGGAACGTCATTCAGTTCATTTTGTAACCAGCTGCTGTGGATATTTCCTTCAATATTTACTGAGTTTAGAAACATACTATAACATGCAGTATGTTATAATATGTTTCTGTTTCTATACTCTTCCATACATACCATATCTCTAAATCACAATTGCTAGTTTGAACTTTGGTTGCAATTTCCTTTTAAACTTGCTTTTAATAGGCAGTACTTTAGTTTTGACTTTCTTAAAGATGGCAGCGTAAGCTTCCGAGAAGCAGCCATTGGTTCATTAGATGTACTACTACACCTGAGCAATCATAGAAAGGTTCTGTTTGTTATCAAGACTTTAATTAGCAATGCTCTTAAAGTAAGAGTATAACAATCGAAGTCATTAAGCGAAGTCCTTCAGTTGATAAATGAACAAAGTTAGCTTATTGCACTCACAAAACTAAATGTACACACGGCCACACTGTTAACTATCCATTTCCGTTTTTGCTCTCGCTGTCATCAAATGGCGATTCTTTGCGAGAAGGAGACGATATGACAGGCAATGGATAGTTAACACAGTTGCCGATGGTACATAAGCATAAATATAGTTTACTTCATTATCGCTGTATTCGCGTAACTTTGACATACGGGTCCACAATGAACGGTATGTTACATATAATTTATGTTATGTGACATAGTTAGCAATCCGCATAGATTATGAAAGGATTCTGCTCTTATCTAAGTAGAATATAGACAAATATGAATTACATAGACAAATATGAAGTTAAGGAAAAATACAGCGAGTGCTATTTCGATCACTACATAAACCAGTTCAAAAGGTACTTATAGATACGCTTTACTCAGTCAGTTATGGGAGCGGCACGGGAGGATTTTTTGTAACGTCACACGACAACGAGACTTCAGATCTTCTTTAGATATGCTTTGTTACGTCATAATATGTCAATGTCACCCCTCCCGTGCCGCTCCCATACCTCAGGCACTGACTGAGTTTAGCGCTAGATATCTTAGATACAGGGTGTTAGGTAAATGGGTATATGAGCCGACACTAGCCCATGTTAACATGGGCATATAAATGATATGGTGAAGTCAGAAAGGACAGTGCCAATCCATGTATGGAAGTTGGACCAAGTGCTGCCCAGAATGAAACTATAGTGCATTTTGTTCCTCAGGCCAATACTAATTTGTAACCTAAACTTATTGCTTCATTTTGGAAATAATGATTTCTGTCAACTAACCAAACTATTGCAACAGCGTTAGATTGCTTATAAAGAATGTCTAAGTCGCACTAAAGTAAGGTATACGGATGCAGTATGGTTAAGTTCAACATAGCGAGTGTTATTTAATGCCTAAATCACGAAATCTTATGCGTAGTACGTATATATCGATGATATTTTGTATGTAAATAATTCAAAACAAAACTCTTTTTTTCTCTTAACTCCAGGAATAGATTTCAGTGCACTTCGGGTTACACATTAGTATTGGCCTGAGGAACAAAATGCACTATGGGTTGATTCTGGGCAGCACTTGGTCCAGACCCTGGCACTATCCTTTGATATCATCATTTTAATTTTTTTAATTTTCATACAAATCGGATTTTATAAAATTTATTATAAAATCCGATTTGTATGTATTTAAGCTCAAAGGCGACTGACTGACTGACTGACATAGTGATCTATCAACGCACAGCCCTAATCGCCACTGGACGGATCGGGCTGAAAGGATGATGGGCACTTTTCTATGGAATCTGGGCGTAAAACCAACAGAAATGTAACTACTATTATTTGTTAGGACTTAATATCAGAAATATATTTTCATATAAATAACTATCAAAAACTCCCGGGTTTGCTTGGAAATTGACATAATGTGTAATAGTAATAGGTGCTTTATTGCGCAATCAAAAAATATTATTAATTAATATACTTGTCTACCTACTCACATTTTGATACATTAAGTTATTTATCTATTATTATGTCCAACAGTTCAGGAGTGGGGCCAACAAATGTTATATTTAAACCATGTTCTACATTATAAGTGTAGGACCATACCTAGGTACCATTTAGAGAAATGACATGAACACAGTCATGTTTCAATGAGATTTTTACCAGTTAAGTTGTAGTGTTGTCGCATAATCGATCACGGATCGATTATTAATCGATATTGCCAAATAACGATTTATCGATTAACAATTCGATTAATCGATTTTATTGATTACCATCATTACTATCATTTGATTGTTAATTCAATTCCTTATTTTCAGCAATATAATCGATTATTGCAATCGAATAATCGATATACATTTATTCGGTATACATACTTACTAAATCGATAGAATCTATAGTAAGATATGATACGATACTCTCAATATGATCGATAAAAGCAATCTAATTGACTTAATACTATTTTTATTACCCTAATGTGATGTGAAATACTATGGAAACTTTGCATATTCAACGACCTCTATCTCCGTATCCCCGCGTATTTCAGGATTGTTGTCATACTATGAAATGAAGTACTAGTATTAACCTTTGATTTAGTATACTTTTTGTTTCTGTTGGTTTAACGCCCAATATGCCCATCATCCTTTGGCATGCAGATTGCAGGTAGATGTTATGACGTGGGCATCCGCTAAGAAAGGATTTCACGAAACTCCACCCCTAAGGGAGTAAAACGGGATCCACGCGTACGAAGTCGCCGGCGGCCGCTAGTATAGCATAATGACGGTTTGATTTATATTTATGATGGCGGACCGTATATTCAATCTTAAAAATGTGCATTGCCAACATGTTGAATACATGAATTTGTATTTGCACTTTACATTATGTGCTCATTTCTCATGTAAGAAATCAGAATAGTGACAGGCGACGGACCCAACTCACGAGTTTTCCTGCGTCACCTATGTAAATGGCAATGGGGTTTTGAAAATAAATCAGAAAAAAAAAGAATTCGTTTTGTCTGCTCAGACACTGTTCAAACTATTAAAATATCAGATGTGGTGGCAGACACTTTGAAAATAGTGAGAGACCAAGCTGCCCCCCGTTGTGCATAGCTACCCCTTGACTCGAACTCCCATGTAAGGGCTTGCTCTTGATCAATTTCAACCAGGATCACTGCGATCTATGGTAGAGCAAACTTGCCAAAAAAATGCCTATTCACTCCTTACTTGAAGGTAGCTAACGCGAACGGACGAAGGACACCATTGAGTACATTTACCAGAAATATCTGGTAAGTTGCGGCCGATGGGGCAGCAAGGTTCTAGAGTGGAGGCCACGTACTGGAAAGCGCAGCGTAGGACGTCCACCCACAATGTGGACCGACGACCTCATAAAGATAGCAGGAAGGCGCTGGATGCAGGCCACTACCAACCGGCCTTTGTGGAAATCATTGAGGGAGGCCTATGTTCAGCAGTGGACATCCTATGGCTGAAATGATGATGATGATGATCTGGTAAGTCAACGGCGGGATGCCTCCGTTCGGATGACGGAGTCGGGTTCCCATAGCGTGTGCTATTGTGTTCCATGAGCTAGACGACAATCCTTCCCCAGGCGTGTAATGTTTGAAGGCAGCTAAGGACTTCATTATGCGACATTAGATGGTTGGCAGTCCACAACAGTACGTTTCTCTAGAAACTTCCTGCCCCGTACAACCAAACTGTGGAATGGACTGTCGTCTGCGGTGTTTCCGGACGGATACGACCTGCAAGCTTACAAGAGGAGAGCGTATCTTCACCTTAAAGGCCGGCTACACACCTGTAACGCCCCTGGGTCTGCGGGTGTCTATGGGCGACGGTAATCACTTACCATCAGGTGATCTGTCTGCTCGTTTGCCTCCTGTCACATAAAAAAAAACACTTACCATCATCTGGTAAGTAAGCGGCGAAACCGTCAGCGCTGATGACTGAAACCAGGCCCCAAAGTTAGTCCTATAAGTGTTCGTAGAACTCATTGCACACTCACCAGGAACATCTGATAAGTCAGCGGTGGGATGCCCCCATTAGCCCGGATGACGGAATCCGGCTCCCATAGCGTGTGCGAAACGTGCTCGTGGCACGACACGCCGATCTCCCGGCACGCGGTCTTCACGCTGTCGTCGCGCTCGCGCCACACCGGCTCGCAGTCTTGCTCGAAGCTCAGCTTGCGGATACCTTGGTAATTTTAATTCATCATCATTAGGGGCCCAGATAAGTGGTACTTTTAGATCGCTTCGAAAATCTAATCCCTTCACGCAGCGAAGTAACTTCATACAAGAAAACGCTGAAGCGAAGGCCCTTCGAAATTATAACTGTCACGTTTAGTCTCCACTGCATGAACGACCCTAAGTTACTGGAGGCTAATGAAGGATTTGACCTGCGCTCCCTACGCTTAAAAGACGAGTTGGAACGTCAAATTCAAGCTTTGCCTAAATAAAGAATGCTGTGTAATCTATCAACACACTGAACTGATTGCGTTGATAGGCACGCAGATGTTATTATGACGTGGGCATCTGCTATAACGGGATTTTCAAAAATTCACCCCAAAAGGGGAAGGGACAGAGGTACAAAGTTTATCGCGAGCGAAGCCGCGGGCAAAAGCTAGTTTTCTTAAAACCATGACGACAAAACTTACCAAACTCTTCCCATAGTCTCCTAAACACAATGTTAGGCTTCCCCTTAAGCATGATAAGCCTGCCCCCATACTTCCGGAACTGGTTGTCCAGGTCATCCAGCGCTTCCAGTAAGTAGCGCATGCGGTTGTAACCTACCACTTTCGTTCCTGCAACAATAACGTCAAATTATATTTGACATACATTACACGAAGTAATAATACGAGCAAGAGGATCATTTGTGGAGAAATCACAGAACGGTAATATGTTTTCAGTCCGTCTCCCGCTTTGCAACGAGGAGAAATTAATTATACTTCAAAGTCCCATATTCTTCTGTTTAATTCGTTGCGGATTTCAAGTCAGTCAGCTACCTAGTCCCTCGAGTCTACTCAACCTGCACAGTTCATTGGTAACATTTTATTAGTTACCAACTGCATAACCTGTCATAACAGGATAATACCACTGCAACGGTGGAAATTAGAAGTGGAATAAGTCCTGAAAAATAAAACGCTGCCAATTGCCACAAGTATTGTTACCGATATTCGATGATGAAATGAAACATACCAGCAGTCTCCCCGTCGAAGATGAAGATGGGGCAGAACGGCTGGCTCCTGTCAGCCAGCGCCGAGTGAAGAGACGGGTTGTCATGGAGCCGAAGCCCGTAGTGGAACCATAGCACGCTGCCTCCCAGTGTCACCCTTTGATGAAGAAGGAAACATACCAGCAGTCTCCCCGTCGAAGATGAAGATGGGGAAGAACGGCTGGCTTCTGTCAGCCAGCGCTGAGTGGAGAGACGGGTTGTCGTGGAGCCGGAGCCTGTGGCGGAACCATAGCACGCTGCCTCCCAGCATGTCACCCTTTGATAAAGAAGGAAACATACCAGCAGTCTCCCCGTCGAAGATGAAGATGGGGAAGAACGGCTGGCTTCTGTCCGCCAGCGCCGAGTGGAGGGACGGGTTGTCGTGGAGCCGGAGCCCGTGGCGGAACCACATCACGCTGCCTCCCAGCATTGTCATCCTTCGATGAAGAAGGATACATACCAGCAGTCTCCCCGTCGAAGATGAAGATGGGGAAGAACGGCTGGCTCCTATCCGCCAGCGCAGAGTGAAGAGACGGGTTGTCGTGGAGCCGGAGCCCGTGGCGAAACCATAGCACGCTGCCTCCCAGCATTGTCACCCTGTTCTGTTATCACCACCTACAAAAGAATTAAAACATCAAACCTTATGCCTACTTTTCCTTCATTCATTATAAGATCATTTATAGTTTTCATTGCAGGACGACCCTCTCTAATTTACTCTGGTAAATTGAGAGGTCAATAATTGGCAAGAGGATTTAGTCAGGCGGACTGAGAAAGTCTAATGTTCGCAATTCATTCTATTGAAAGAGCTGAATATGCCGTAAATAAAGAAAATGTATGTGACCTGAGGCTGTGGTAAAAAATAATAATGTATTATTTAACAAGTTTCGTATTTCCCAAACGTGCTACGTCGCATAATGTTTTCGCGAAGTTCGTATAAATCAATACCTTCTTTCCAGTGCGAGTCAGTTGACTGGCTTGACCTAAATCGTAGTAATATGAAGTAAAATATTCTTATCAAATCATCAAAATTAAGCCAAAACCTTACAACGCGCGTACCTACAATTCCATCAATAGTGACTTCCCAGATTTCACAGAAAGTAATTTTAGAAAATACAGTTAAAAATAATTTCCTTAATCCAAAAATTTCCTCAATCGGTTACAGCACAGGTATTTTATTTCTATCTTGTTACTTAACAAGGCTACTTCAGTTAGTAAATGGATAATTCTCGCTAAGCTTCACGAATGGAGATTCAGATACCCTTTTGGCATTTCGTTTGTTCGTTTCAGCCGGTCAGACTTTCTGTAAGGATTTCCTTATGGATCTGTCATGCGCTGCCCGCATTTAAAAGATCTAAACTTGATCGTACTACAATGTCCACGATGTGTGATTCCAAACTACTGTTATGTCTATTAACCCAAGCGTACAGGCGTTGATGGAGCGAATGACGCACTAATTCCCAATGTTACTGAGAGATGGCCTTAGCTCGCCCATGGCCTGGTTAAATCGCCAGGTGGCATCGCAATAGGGCTGTCTTGAAATGAAATACACTTTGCAATAATTTAGTAGAGAATCTAGGGCTTAAGTCGTTAAAAAACCGGATTAGATGTAAAAGGTTGGTGGTAGAAGTTAAAGAATTTTGCAATGTTAAGGAATGAAGTCGACAAACTAGCATAAAATCAAAGAACGTAACATCGAGGAAATGGAGAGCTCTTTTTTGGTAAACGGTAGAACATGCGAGAGCACTACAAAAGGAACTAGCAAAAACAAAATCTGTCAGAAAATCCTACACATTTTTATTCAGTGGTCGATCCAACAAATATGCTAGCAAAATTCTAACATAAACTACAAATAAGCCTTACATATTGCATCTGAAAAGAACTAGTGTTTTTCCATCAGCCAATACGGCCATAGTGACGAACAGCACTGCAAAATGTATGAAATTATATGCACCTTATTTCGATTCCTTTCGATATTTTAAATTCATGTCTTTTGAATTTGAAAGTAGATAGAAAATGCACTTTATTCAGTAGGATTAAAGAGTAGTAGTGAACGTAGAGTACCTAATTGAATCCTAGTACGTCATTCATGATTGATTTATTCCCATCCTGCTATATGGTCTAACTATGGTTTGCTCTACAAATCTCTACAATCTGTCAGAAAATCGAACTAAGTAATCAGATGATTATTAAAAGAAACTTTACCAAACTGTTGTAACATAATAAACGTTGTAGAACTAAGGGGTAATGGAAGATCATTTCAATCATCATCATCAGTCATTTAGACTCTACTGCAGGATCACGATCCTTTCTAATTTATCAGAGGTAAAATTGGAGCGTTTTAATAAGACATGAAAGCTAAAATAGCTAGGAGGATAACTATAGTCGTCATAGCAAAAGCATGATAGATGACTGTTTACATTCAGTACTACTCGGCGACCCTAGACTGCCTAGACCGTACTACGCGTGTAATACCTAATGCTATTGCCTATAGCAACCGCGATAGTATTACACAACCTACGAAGCTAGATCATGCAATTGTTTTGCTTACAATTCCTTAACTGGCTGGAAGATGTTTCGTTACTTTGCCTACAATAATTTTAAGAGATTTTATCATAAAAAATTATACAAGTAAATGCTATGAGAAGATAGGCAAATAAAGAGTAAATTACTATAGTTAATAAGAGAAGATAATAAGTTACGTGTACCATTAAAAGGATTCAACACAACATGAATGAAGGCCTGATTCGACTCTACGAAATATTTATTATGTCAAACATTTAAGTATTGCATATTTTCACATACTTTAAGAGATTCCATGGCTGATATTAGCATTCCTTTTAGAATTCTCAAGAAGTTCTATCACGAATTAAGAGCTACGAATATGCCTACTACTGGTTGACCTCATGGAAAACTGAAATAATCTAAAAGAAAAACATATGAAAAGCCACGTCCTTACCAAAAATCTCCTAAAATCACTTGCTTTTAGTAACACTATTAAATCTAAACGAATTACTATGTAGCAGCTTTAATATTTATGAAAATAATATTAAATATCCAAAAATGGAAAAGTTAAAAACAAGGAAACGTCAAGTCCCTACACCGCGCAAATTGGAACTGACGCGGTTCGAAGGGAGCGCTTCGAAACAGTACGTGGCGGGACTGAATCTGAAACAATCGCTTTCCAGAAGGTTCCAAACACAAAGGGCTTCGCCCCGAAGCCCGAGAGAAACTGTTTTGTTTTAAACTTCGATAAAAACTCCAAATTTTCCTTGCAATTTTTAAAAAACCTAGAAAATACTTTTAAGGTTTCTTAGTTGTTTCTTGTTTGCTCTTTGCATTTTAATGGGCGCGTACTGCTTTTATGGCACGAAAAACAACTCTTTAATTGAAATTCAATATTGGTAGGTAAAGTCACCGCAGTTTTAAATACATCTACGTAGAGAAAGTAGAGACTATTTTTTTGTGTCAAAATGAATAAGGCTATCATAGAAACGCGTATTTGGAAAGAAAACGGTTCTTCAGAATAAAAGACCGTGTCATTGTCATAAATGGTAGAGACGCGACTGAAATGTGACTCCTACAATAGTGTGTCCAATGTCCATCCATACACAGCGTCATGCGTAACATTTTGCATCTTTGAAGTCGTTTGCTCCGCAAAATGTTCATCATCATCTTATTTTTCTTCAGAGCTGTAGAAGAACAACCTTCTAATTCACCAAAGGGGAATACACTCCCCACGTTGTCCCTTAATCACTTTTTGAGGATAAGTGGGGATGATCCTATGGTGACAAACATGTCATAAGCTTATCTAAGGCTAGTATGACCTAACTATGAATAATATCCAGAAGGACGGCCAACTATCGATTTCACCTGCAGATAATAGTTACGAGAGCTGTCTGACGCAATCCGATCCGTCCTCACAACAAAACAATCATCCCCTACAGCTAGGGTTGCTAGCTTGATAGACAAGAATAAACCTTTGTTTTTTTTTTTCGTATAAACCCGGACACTGTTATACATATTTTGCTAAATGAGAGAATGATCTGTGCCTGAACAAAGAAAAGTAAATTGAATCCCATTCGTACGGTTCAGCCGAAAGACGTCCACTGCTGAACAAAGCCTCCCCAAGGTTTTCCACAAAGACCGGTCCTGCGCCGCCCGCATCCAGGCACCTCCCGCGACCTTCACCAGAGGTGGAATTGTGTAAAGCAATCGTTATCATTTGACAGTTCATAACGTACGATTATTCTGTCAAACGCTTTGTTTATCTGACTTTATCGTACGTTATGAACTGTCAAATGATTACCATTGCGTAAACACAATTCCACCTCAGATCGTCGGTCCACCTAGTGGGGTGGAAGGCTATCCTCTATTTTGATTTGTTACTCAAAGTGATATAGAAAAGACTTGACATTTCAACCCTGAGTCCGGAAGGTTAAAATGGGATTGTATTGGACAAGTGAGTGGAAAAGTGGATATGTTAGAACCAATCAGACTTGTTGAATGGAACCTATGTGTTGACAGAACAATAGCTTAACTATTAATAAAGTAAGCATTCAGTTTGTTGTTATTTGTCGTTATATTTCAAAAAGAAAATAAGTACCTAGGTAAGTATTTTAGCAGAACCTTGAAAATTGTCTGTGAGTAGAGATGATGTTTAAGAATAAGAAAGTCTTTACTATACTAATGTCTGTGAGTGTGTTGAATTGTGACCTGAAGGCGGCAGTTTACAAACACGAGACTGATTGCACGCAAATCTGGGACAAACTTGATAAGGAAGTGCAACTGTTACGGGTGATCGGATTCGGAATACAGTCTAAACATAATGGTAACAGAATTAATATTAACTTCTTTTTAATGGTTGTAGTTAAATAAGTCGACGATGACTTACTGGGCCATTCAACGCCATTTCTATAACTTCAAATCTATCCATTCCTATCTCAAAGCGAAAAACTGGCAAGAGATTCAGTACGCTCAGCACCAAAGAAATTAAAATACAGAAGCAACATTATAGTGTAGCCATAGATAGGCTAATAACTACAGAAGGCGGGTGACGTCTCTACAATTTTCCTTTCAATATCGTACTCTTTTAGAAAAGCGTTTTGTTATTAAATATGTTGTTCAAGAACCATTTAGGCTCGCGAAGTTGTCGAATTAAGTGATTAATTTAACTTCAATTAAAGTGAAACGAATAACAAACAATAGAACTAATTACAGCTCAAGCCATAAGAAGTCCTTTGCAACTTCGACTGTTGGAAGCCAAACATATTCCGTCTAGCTAGTTGGTACCTACGTATTGCTAAATGTTGAACATAGGGTTGATTATACAGTTAAATGCATTATAGATATACTACATGTGTAGCCTTTCGCATAAATTATACGTGCATGTTGATATACGTAAGATTAGGCGCAGACCATCGATTTTTAGTTGGCCGATAGTTGTGCCTGATTTTTTAAAAAAAATATGAAGAATCGGCCAAATCGAATCGGCGTGATGTGCGCACTTCCATACATGCCCATATTGCCCATACTGATCAACTGCCCGACTAAACTATCGGCCGACGAAAAATCGATAGTCTGCGCCTAGGCTAAGAGGTAGGTAAAATCTCTGTAGGTAAAAATGTTACAGAGTTGGCGAGGTGAAAACACTTCATACAAAATAACGATTTGTCGCCAGTGTCGTGTATTATGTAAGAGATTATGAAAACAAATACGAATATAATTCAAAAGTTTTGAGTATTTTTGAAAGAGTTATATAAAACCCCATCCCCATCACGCAAGGGCCTCGCATAGAGTCGCACGTAATTTTAGATGTTTGATTAGGCAACTCTAGTTATGCAAAGTTTAATTTAAGCTTGTTTGTTAAATCAACTTAAATTTCCACATTATGATTACGTCCTTTATTCGCTGTATTGTTTGTTTCCAAAATGAAAGTTACATAATCCACAAGTTTGTAATCCTGATGATGTTAAGGATATTTTGATTATACCTATCATATACAAGATCATTCTTTATTTCAGATTTGAATGTAAATTAGGATACTCTCCTCTTTCGATATTAGGGTATTGGGATAAACTTCCAAGTAAGGGATGCAAAATAGTCTTTTTTTTATTGTGGAAGTTCAGTTTTATATATTTTCGGAGATTTTGGTGGCAAGGCAAAAAATACTACATGATTGTGTACTAAACTATGCTGTTAAATCGCCCTGGGTTTCGTTAGTAAACACTAGATCTTATGTCTAATCAAGTTGGCCACCCCTAGTATATGTATAGACATCGCACGGGTACATCGTTTACAAAGCACTTTAAACAGATCGGAAAAAGACTTTAAACATGCCTATTTGCCTATGAAATGAAGGGTTCTTCTGTCTGACACCGGCAGGGTGAGTGAAGCGCCGAAGGCCAAATAGAACGCGATCCCAGCACGCGCGCGTCATAGCGCAATCTACATACTACATAGAACGACTCAATACCATGCTTTTACCACAGAATACATAATAGTAGCCTTTTACCTAGTATTGTACTATGACGATATTATACTGTAAATGAAGCCCCTAGGCCCTAGACAAAGTTGAGCGCAGTTTTAATCCCGACATCGCTTCGCTCCTGCTTTTTTGTATGCGTTTCGCCCTGTCTTTTTTTACGCAACTACTTTGCTACGTAAAGGACCATTTATGTTACTTTGCCTAGGGTAGCAAGCTCTAGCGATACGCTCAACGTTACCTCGCGTTCTGTTTGTCAATTTATAGTATAGGTACCTAATGTCATACAGTTAATTTAAAATGAGTGATACGATAGAACGCAAAACTGACGGCCGATGGGGCAGCAGGGTTCTGGAGTGGAGGCCACGTACCGGAAAGAGCAAGACGTAGGACGTCCACCCACAACTCACAAGGTGGACCGACGAGCTCATAATGGTAGCGGAAAGACGCTGAATGCAGGCCGCCACCAACCGGCCATGTGGAAATCATTGGGGGAGGCCTATGTTCAGCAGTGGATGTCCTATTGCTGAAATGATGATGATACGATAAAACTCGGCAATAATATAGCGTGGCATTAGTGCCTTTTTCCCGTGATGCGGATTTCGTTCCGCGTGCGTGTAGCCCGCCTAAAGTCTGGTCGCCGAGCACGTAGAATTTTGTCCAATGACCCCAAGCTACCTATCCTTATCGCTCGCGCGTAATTATATTGCTGTCGCGACTGTGCGACGGGCGACAGCAGTGAGTGTGCGAGCGCGAAATGCAGGCAGGCATGCGGACAAGGATCCGCACGCGTGCCGAAATCCGCATAACAGGAAAAAAACTTAGGCAGCAAAACTATGGCACTCTGCAAGTGGACATCTGCCCTACCTTTTCAAATCTATTCTAGAGGACACCTAATACATGTGACCTAGATCAAAGCAATTGTGCAATTTATTACTTTGATATGATGGACAGAAGACAATACCTACACACTTGCAGTTATGTAGCTCTTAATTTGTGTGGGATAGAGATCAAAGGACATTGTCAGAAACCGCCTCAGATTCCTGGGCACAGCAGTAAAGTATCAAAATTAATCTCTTACTTTTTGAATACTTAAATATTAATTAGATTGTAACGGACACTTGAGGATTAAAAAATGAAATAATAAAAGTATTTTATATGTATTCCATAATACTATGACGACATCCGGACATTTTAGGGCGTGGCCTGCTCCATATCCTATGAAGTTCCATAATTTGTGTCGATAAAATCTATGTAAAATCGGCACAAGGCAATGCCGTACTTCATTGTTAGGAATCCATGTAATAGTGATGTTGACTGCGGTCATCATAGACAATAAGATACCGATCTTGTAAATAAAATAAATCGTCCAAATTGCTACAGTGTGACTAGATTTTAATTAAAAGTTAAAAATATATTGCACGATACTACAAGAAGCTATCTAATGTGTCCAACTGGTCGAAGGTCATGAATAAAATAAAAAGAATTGTGATCATAACACTGATATAGACAATGACAACAATATGGGATCATCTTTAATATATCTGTTACAGTTTCAAAATTCGATGAAAAATCCAATGCCGCTTAAAGTGAGAGAAATGTCTAAAGTTCTAATAGAATTGAAAGTTTTATTCGCTCAAAATGCTTATAACAATAATTGGTAATACATTTCAAATATTAAGTACCTTTATAATGTATCGATAGAACCAAAATGATATCCTCTCAGCTTGGAAAGGGAAAACCCAGGATTGGGGGAGCGCTCCAGGCAATTTTTAGAACATTTCATAGGTGGTAGTAAATAATATTTATTTTATTATTAAAATTGAATATTTTGATATTGATAAAATTGAATATATCTTTCGATTCAAATACCGAATATTTTTCAATCGATAATAATTATCGAGAATTGTTAATAATATTCAATTAAAAGTTGTTCAATCCCTAGTCATGCATAGACTAAGACGGTAACCATGGAGATAGTTAGTTTGGTAAGTCACGTGTTAAATGTCAAGAGTGGAAAGTAAACATAGGATTCATGTTATTTATTTACGTGCAAAATGTAAGTAAGTAAATCATAAAAGTGGAACGCCGAGCTATTTCCAAAACCCGTCCAATATTATAATACAATTTGGCTGCGACAACTACAATACAGAACATCTCCCAAATCGATGTGCATAAAATAATATAATACAATACTAGTAAGTAAGAGGTTATGATAACAATATTGCTATCAATAAGTTTATAGAATTGGTCCGCCAGGAATAATTGTTCTTACATAAAGATTTGTGTCATTTAGAACCTAGAAAGTATTATTTCGGCACTGTTGATCTAACGGCGAACAATGTATGGAGAACGAACATTGTCCTTTGTTAGTCTCAATTTTCCTACAAGATGAACTGTCTACCTGTATTGAAAAGTGTAAGAAAACAAGAAGATTTCAGGAAGTAGGACAGCAGTGGGTTAATTCATTTATTCAAGCAGATCAGAAAGAAAACTGAAGAGATTTTAAAATCACATTAAGCCTAGGCGCAGACCATCGATTTTTAGTTGGCCGATAGTTGGGCCCAATTTTAATTTGTAGGAAGAACCGGCCAAATCAAATCGGTGTAATGTGCGCACTTCCATACATGCCCATACTGATCAACTGCCCGACTAAACTATCTGCCGACGAAAAATCGATGGGCTGCGCATTTTTTTTTAAAGTGTAATAAGTTAATCTTTGAAGAAAATGGTAAACTATTAATACACACATATTGTATGTTGTGATAATCTACAAGTTACAGTAGAATCTCGATTATCAAGATATTCGATTATCCGGACTCATTCTTCACGGCTTATATTAACAATTTAGGCCCTGGACCCATCAACACGGCACCATATCACCTGTAATACGGCCCAGCGCTGCCACCATAACACGGTACAGACTTCGTCTTGGTTCATTATTGAGAGTAAATGGACTCATCCAATGGTTTAAAATTTAAACCATTTAAATGATGCATGTAAAACCCTTTCTTTATTAAAAAGTTAAAAGTTAATTATTGTTTGATTTTACTTTGAAATTGATTATCCGGATTTCCGATTATCCGGAATACCCCTGGTTTTAATTGATCCGGATAATCTGGATTCTACTGCAGTCATTTCTTGAAACAAGTTATCCTTGTATATTTAATAGAACATCAGGACTTTATTTACGATTCAGTCGTAATAAGTTTATAAACAACTAATCCAAAGTTGTTCTAACCTTATATAACAACCATATATAACCTATTCAACTTGAAACAGAATTAAGTATTAATTTATTTTAATGGAAATGCGCAAAAATTAGCACACTTACCTTCAACGCTCCAACTCGATGCTGACTGGCTGAGCGTATAAATTTAATTGATTTAGGGGTTTACTTATAATACTAACATGTTTTAAATATTATTTCTAGGGTTCAAAATTAATAAAGTAAATAGATATTTTAAAGCAAATCACTAATACAAAAACACAAACACAAGAGTAAAGTTTTTTTTTTGTAAAATGAAAAGTGTCAAAAAGTTGACAATTTTGACATTGACATTTGTTTTTTTTTCTAATTTGACTTTTTTTTCTAATCCCATTTCAAAACAAACATATTTGGCCAAAAGTCGTAGACATAACGGTGGCATTATCAAGAGTTATACCATCAAACGTTCAAATAAAGACAGGCAATAGACAAAAAGCTCTAATCCATATCTGTGACAAAAAGCGTTTGACAGGTGTCACGGCCACCGACTGATTTTTGTTGACCAGTTTTGGAAAATTTCTGATTAAATTATGAACAGCATCAAGATTTTCAAGAACTTAGCATTCAGTAATCAGTTGCGGTCTTTCTCAAGATGGTAAACACAAGAAAATTTGATTTTTCATAGTTAGCTAATTTTGAGGTTAGGTTAACCTGATCTTCATTTTGCAGCACAATATTACGTCAAGAAGTCGTCCAGGCAGCGTCCCCGATATCTATACCAGTACCAGAGGGAGTTGATAAGCCCGTTTCCCCAAAAATCGAGAAGTTAGTTGCTGAAATCACAACCCTTAACCTGCTTGAAGTATCAGAACTAAGTCAGGTCTTGAAGAAGAGATTGAACTTGCCCGATGCCCCTGTTATGCCTGTTGGTGGATTCGCCATGGCCGCCGCGCCTGCACAAGAGGAAGAAGAAGCCGCTCCCAAAACAGTCAAAACTAGTTTCACAGTAAGAAAGTTGATATTTTCTAAACAAATTACTCCAAACTATTTTCTTTTTCTGGTTTTAAAACTTGTGTTGTTTTTCGCAGGTCAAAATGACAAAGTTCGATGACAAACAAAAAGTAGCACTGATCAAAGAAGTAAAGAACCTCCTGGAAGGCTTCAACCTTGTCCAAGCAAAGAAGTTTGTGGAAAGTGTACCAACAGTTGTTAAGGCAGACATTTCCAAAGATGAGGCAGAAAAACTGAAAGAAGCTTTATCTAAAGTTGGAGCTATTATTGAAATTGAATAATTTAAGCATTTTTATTAGTAATATTTAGTTTATAGAAAAAATTAATTAAAATATCAAAACTTACTGCCTTTTTTGTTATAATCCTATTTCCTGCTTACATTAAAAAAAATATAGATTGGCAATAGTGATAAATGAAAGATAGTTTATAGATCAATCTCTTTATTTTACTTTTCAATTTATTTACAAAAAATACTTCTACAAATAAGTAGATAGATAAATGCTAATGACATATTTATTTCCCATAGCAATTTCTTGGCGAGACAAGTTTCACTTTTAGCTTGAATGCAACTACAAGAAACCCGTAAAAATGCTACTACAATTAGAAATAATATTAAAACTGAATGTTTTGTATGACACAGTACTTCTTCGTAATCTGAGCTTTAATCTCAAGTGTTAGTAACAATTTGGTAGAAATGGAATCTAAACATTGACAGCCATGCAAACAACTCATATGTATAGCCATGGACCTATAAAAAAAGTCGGACGGATTCTCATCAACAAAATACTGTGACATTAGGATATACCAGCTCGCCTGTACGTACAGGCCGGCACGCACACATTCATACCCTGATACACCACTTCGAGTGCAAACTTCACACAGTTGACACATTTACGCGGCGAAAAAAAAACACAAATACGACATGTCTTGCGTGGTGAAATTGTGTAAAAACCGTTGATCGAACGAACAAAAATCAAAGAATCACATTTCACAGGTAAACTAATAATCTAATCACTTATTTCCCCGATTTTATAAATATTAAAATCAAACGTCAATCACCCGACAAAATAATACGTCAAAGGCCAGTGTTCTCAGTTATTTACGTGGGAAAATTACCCGAAAAGTGGGAAATCTATAATTTTAAGACTTTTTAGGTGTTTATTACGCATACTATAGAAATAAAGTAATTTATCATAATAACTGTGTTTTAATGGGATATATTTTCGTAGGCAGATTTGATCCTTCCCAAGGGCGTGGAACTGCGAAATTCAAATTTTCTTATATTTTTGCAAGTCAGTGTCATGATGATACATAAGATTATGATTACGTAGGTACACAAGATTGATAATTTGTAACTGCGTGAATCATATTTTGATCAACATACAGGGTGNATCTAAAATGTGAGCAAATTTTAGGCCAATATTAAAGCGATATCTATTTTTATTAAGCTTCGAAAAAAAAGTGAGTCACTGTTGCCTCCCTGACCCTATAGCATAAAATCTCGTATATTAATACTATTTGAGTAAGTGATTACTTATCAAACAATAACTGTAAAAATACTTATACATATAGTATTCATGGGTGATATAAAGTAACTTAACATACAATGTTATGATAATAAGCAGAATGTTTTGTTATATGATTGTGGTTCGTTCGTTTCAGCCAAATGACGTCCACTGCTGGACAAAGGCCTCCCCCAAGGTTTTCTACAATGAACGGTCCTGCGCCTATGATTGTGGTAGCCAACATGTTACATTGATGAAAAGCACTTCATTATGTACATATGTTACTTAATAAAATACAAAGTACTGATTTATTCATTAAAAATATATCCTTATTTTCCTACTTTACTTAGTAGCTATATTTATTGCAAATCTACCTTAAAAAACGTAAATGTTAATCTTTATTATTGGATTCATACCATATACCATGAACTAAGCAGATTATATTTCGATTCAATGGCACTGAAAACCGCACTAAGCGCCACGAGAACTTTTGTGAACGAAACCTTTTTTTTAAGAATATTAATGTTTCTACTTCATATAACTAAGTATACCATGCTCTTCTACTTCGTTTAGCTTGTAGATAGTTCCTTACTTCTCAGATCCTCGCGGCGACACAGTAACAATCGTAATAGAGAACCATAAAACCTAAATTCGTTTTCTTTAATAACAGTCTAAAGAGTTCACTTCCTCATTATCATCATACAAGCCAAGCACATCATCCAGAAGTGAAGACACGCTTCTTATGCCATCTTTCCATTCCCTCTTCTGTTTGATAGTATTTTTGAAATCATTTACCCGCATATAATTTACGAATAAGTATGGCGTAGCTGATATTGTAATTTTTAATTTGGGCGTCACTTTTGGCGCGTCGGGTTTGTCTAAACTCATATGTTTCTGGTATATGTTGGCTAATAGATTCATATCGTCGCATTTTATAATGCCATCAATAACGTTATCCGATGTCGTAGCGGTATCGTGGTCCATTTGTTCCTCTTGCACTTCGTCGGGCTCGATGACGCAAACCAAGTCTTCCATGCTTTTAGGTTCTCCTTCAGCTATCACTACGATGTCAGGCACTTTGTATTTGACTAAGATCTCGTTCAACTCTTCAGCTATGCACAGGGCTGCGTCCATCACTTCTACTTCGGTGTCCTCGTGCAACAGTTTGAGCAGGACTGTGAGGCACCCGTTGGCTGCTAACTCGTCGAGTAATTTGAGCAGTCTTTTCCTGATTTCTGCTTCGTTCAGCGTGACGATCTTCCGAGATTCTCTGGAAAACGTGACCGGGGGGAAAGTGCCGTCTAACATACCTTGGTCCGTCAGGTAGGACTGGATGACGAACTTCCAAAACTTGAGGGCGCTGAGCTGGACTTCCCAGTGAAAGTCGCTGATGGCTGCCGAGGCCATGTGCTCGTATAGGGCTTGCCTGAAGTTCGGCGCGAGCTTGATGTGTTGGTATATTTCGCATAAAACGTTGCACGCCTCTTTCCGGACGATCCCCTCTTGGTTGTTGCGAAGTACTGCTATCATTCGGTCCTGAAATCAAACAGTTAATTTCAAACAAACGAAACGCGAATTGTGCAATTTTATCCTCGCGTATCAATCTGTCTGACGAGATGTTATAAATAAATAATGGGAATCATACTAATTTACACTTGGTGTCTGCAAAGATGATTGTCGTGCTCGTGATATATCATTTAGTATTTGGTTAAGTATGTCCATTTGTTTAAACGTCTTCAATAACTTTAACGATGCGATAGTTTACCGTGGATGGGGGCGTATTTTGATAAAACGTGTTTTCAATAACCAATCAGGTTTCCTTATTCCGCATCTCCTCACCTCTACCCTCAGATTCCCTTCGGAAATCTGACTGATTATTCAAAACAATATCGCTCGTCACCTCTTCTCCGCTGTAGTGGAAACAGAGTTTTATGCTACTAAAAGACATGTACGCGAAAATCAGGCTTCCCCAACCTGACTAGCCAGCGTAGAAAGTGCAGGCCAAATTCTCAATTTGCCTCTGGTAAACAAGAAAGACTCGTGTTCTTGCTAGAGAGTAATCACTATAGCCGATGTTTACATTTTAAAACAAGTTATACAAACGTACAATGACTGCCCAGAGCCCCGATTACGGTAATTTTAACGTCTCCAATACAGACGCGCTTCTTCGATTCTGCGATACGGATTGGTCAAAACAGTTGACGTCAGCTGCTGGACTTACTTCAGTCAACGGCACATCAGACTATATCTACAGTTTTGTTGCAATATCCCCCTTCTCACAACCACCTAAGATTCAGTATCACCCCTCACTTACCAGAAAGTTCGGGTGTTCCCCCTGTAACTGTTCCCACATGCTGGATATCTTGCAACTTGCACCGACGCATTTGAGCGCCGACACCTGGACGTAGGGCTCGTGGTCGTTGAAGGCGATGGTTGCTGCTACCGTGATGAGTTTGTTCTCTATGATCTGCTTACGGAACGGTGGAAATTCTGGAAAATAAATAGAGGATCAAAGTCCCCTAACTTTGATAGGGGACGATTGTGGCAGATACAGTGATGAGTTTTTTCTATTACCTATCTGTAGAAATGTTGAAAGTTCTGAAAAAAGATTGACGATCAAAGTTAGGAGAGATTCTCTTGCAATAGAGAACATCTTGAAATATCGTAATGAATTCGTATATTTACGGGACTTTTCCCACTGCTGCAAGCCTGGTAGCCAGGATCTACAGCTTAACCGCCAATAAAAACAGCAATATCGGACTCAACATTTTTCTAAGAATAGCCGTTGCATAGAGCAGCGGTTCCCGAATGGTGGTCCGCGGAACCCTGGGGTTCCGTGGAAAGACCGCAAGGGTTCCGTAAAAAATATTATCCCACGTTTCGTGACCGACGTTGTTCGCTCGCACCGACTTGTTTACGCACAAAGGAGGGGCAGGGCGTGCGGGCGGAGTAGTACGGGGGTTCCGCTAGGAAAAGTATAATCAATTAGGGTTCCTTGGCAAAAAAAAATTGGGAAACCCTGGCATAGAGTGCAATGTTCGCCAGCGTTCGAGATTTACAAAAAGATAATTGACAATCAAAAAAGGAGAATCCAAGAAATTCATGATAAGAGAAGAGAAGAAGTTCAAGAATACCCAATATTGGGATTATTTAAGTTGGGCGAGAAACATGACAATGTGATTGCGTAAAAGATTCATTCATTTAAGGTAAAAAAATATTTATCATGATAACGTTGGCAGAGGTCAGGTTCTATTTATATGACCAATAAGTACTCTTGTCTAGACTGCGTACTATAATTTCGTTATTTAACGAGTGAGTTGTCTCGATAACTGCAGTTACAGTGACAAAAATATTATTACACCCATTTCATCAGCAATGACATAATATTAAATACAGTGGAATAATTTATCATGAAAGGTTGTAGGTACGTAATGATGAATCGACATAAAATTGTGGAGCGCCATTCTATAGAAAATTTAAGAAACCTAATGAATAAGCGATTACCTACATCAAATTCGCAAATTTTCAATTTAGAAGTTGGTAAAATTCAACTTCCAAGATTTAGTTACCAGTTACCAAATGAGTTGTTAAAAAAACACTTACTAATATACGATATCTCCGTGCAAACGTTGAGCAGTTCCAGCGCGGAATCCCTGACTTCCCAGTTTATATCGTGCATCTTGGTGAACATCAGCTTGCCCATCTCGTGGATTGCTGACCCTGGCTCTGCCTCCATGAGGAGGGACAGGTTGGGCGGCAGAAACTTCTGGACTGTCACTGTCATCACGCCCAGCGATGCTAGGACGAACTAGAAAGAACCGTGGAAGAAATTGTAAGAAAAATTCTTTCGTCACCAGAGCATTATTATGTTCATATTGATTTATATGGGAAACAGAAGAAGGTCGATGTGGAAATATATGGTGGAGGTCTTGTCCAGCAATGGATGACTTTAGAATTTAGATTAAAACCAGACTAAGCATTTTTAAGATGTAAATCCATCGAGGGTTCACAAATTCACAATACAAAATAGATTGGAATAAAACCCAAGTTATCAAACTTCACAATAACTCAGGAATTCAGGATAGGTATTACCTAAATGTGTGTGTAGCGCTGAAATATACATCATCACCGCGTTTAAATTAATAAGTTTTTGTTTATTTACCGATTATCAAAAATTTTCGCACGAGCAAATTGCAAGTCATGTTGCGTTTTATCGAATGGAAGGTGTGTCGTATTTCTGTCTGCAGTCATTGAGGGATCAGTCACTCTACGTATATAAAATAGTTATCTTTCTTATCAGACTTAAATTTACTCCCGTAGAAGACGTATAAGGAAAAGAAAAGGGACCGTGCAAAGCGCGAATATTTACAATATTAACTCGTATTTACCATAGTACAAGCTTTGCTTAGTTTGGGACTAGAAACGCAGTGTAAATGTCCAAGGATATTTATTTATTTATTTAATTTACTCACCTTGCATGTTAAGTTTGGTCTCCTCGTGAGAATGTTATGGACAATAACGTTAAGACATGCCACTTCTAAGCTGGCGTGCCACTTAATATTGTAGCGCTTCACTAACGACAAAACCGTGTCCATGACGTAGGTCATCACCAAGACTTTCTGCTCGCTGTCCTCCAAATTCTCCGTTTGGATTTCACCGTAATCGTCTGTCGGGTCGTATTCCCTTAGCACATAGAATAACGCCTGGAATAAAGTATTCGCTTGCTGGTCGTTCAACTGGTCCTTGAAGAAAGTCAGTCTTTTCACGCTTTCAAATGTTATGTTCATGACGTCCTGCTCCAATATCAAATCTCTTAGAGCGTATGCGGCCCGGGAGGTGTGCTCGCAGCTCATGTGGACGAAAGTAGAAATGTACTCGTTAATTCTATCGTTAGTCATAGAACCCTTGCAATTCCCTTTAGCAGTCTTGTTGATGTACACCAACAACGGGACGAGGTATATGAACAGCATCTGATATTGCAGCTTGTTCTCTCTTTCATCGTCCAACTTGTTCATGGCTAAGGTGTTAAAAACCGTACGCACCATCGAATTGCAGTTGTTACAGCAGTCCACTACTTGCATAACGTTTCTCTTCTGTATGAGGTAATGTATCATATTGAAGTACAAAGCTTGTAATTCTATAAAATCTTCAAATTTATACACTACTCCCGGCAAGTAGGGTTTCTTTTGGAATACCCTTAGAAGTACCCAAGCAAATATTAGTCTAATGATAAGCATCGACACGTTTTCGTTGCGTATTCTTTCCAACAAGAAGTGAAGATGTGTTTGGAAATTGATCTCATTCATCAAAATGGACATAATCTTATTTTTCTGATGAACCCTATCTATTTTGCTCAGCAATGCACTAAGAAACATTTGTAAGACCGGTTCAAATTTTTTACAATATTCATCTTCCTCCTCACACGTTACATTCTGAGTGTCAATGTAATTGACCTCCAATATAGGCTTCGCTATGTGTCCTAGGATTATAGTGAGATTAGGTTCATCGTCCAACTCGTCTAGTTTCCATAAAAACTCGGAGACAAATTTATAAACTAGTCTTAAGACGAATATCGTGGATGGTTTTTGATACAAGGTCAGTAACTTTTTCCATAGCTCAGACTTCAGTATCCAGGACACTCCGGAATTGTGCGACACTATTGCTATTGCGATTTCTAGGTACGCAACCTTCAGGCTTGGGTTCATGGTATCTAGGTCTATTTTGTTAAAGGTTTCTAGGAGTTTGTCTCCGTTTTTTTCGAGTATTTTGTTGAAGTGCTGCTCCTTGCGGCTGACGATCGCGAGTATTCGGCCGAGGAATACGTTCACTGTGTTATGGTAGCTGTCCATGTTCCTCATGGCGTCGATTACCTGGTCCCGCAGAAACGTAAAATCGATGAGGTTGGACGTTTCTGAAACAATACAGATAAAGATATGAGGCAGTTCTAAAGCAAGATAAAAATGATTCACATCCAGAGCAATCCGGGTCATCTATAAACCTTATTGAAGGGTAATCTAATCTTGACTAGTATTCTGTGATACTACACGCAAGTACCTAGGTGCCTGCAAAAACTGCTTTGTATGAGCATGATATATCAATATGGTTAATCCAAACATCGTTTAGTACATACATAAAATACTTACTCTTTCCGATACTAAAAAACTATAACCTTGATACCTTAACTTCAGAATGAACTGATAACAACATGCATAGGTAGGTACATATCAACGACTGATAAAATGCCCGAGCCAGTTCAGTTCGGGCGGTCCGCCCCGGGTGCCAACCATCAGGGGGTGACACAAGTCGCGCAGATTAGTACTCAAGTACACATCTGCATGGCAAGTCTGCGGTTTATGTCAGTTTATGTCATGACGAATCGGTAGGTAACCCCCAAAATCCTAGGGGTACCAAGGGGGGTGCCTTAGGACTTATGACGGGTGGGGGGAGTGATCGCCCCGGGTGCCAACCCATGCTACGCCGCCACTGGCCCGAGCGCATCTCACACATTTGGCGTAAGCGAGTCTAAAATAAAAACGAGTCCAGACGTCTAGCTTCCATACAAAACCCTCGCTGTTGCAAGGGAATCTTTAGGTTTTTTAACTTTTAGAAGGATCGAGGATTTTCGTATAAGTTAGGGCATGTGCACACCACGTTTTTAAAGGCGCCGAATTTACGACGCCTCTCGTAACGTCCACCCGGGCGCCCATTTTTCCTGCAAAGGTCTACGTCCAACTTGCGTGTGTATCGCGTTTCGCAGTGCCCAGGGCCCCGCGACCGAGGGGGCCCCCATTTACTCAAGAGACCTTTTTCCAGATGATAAGGGCCCCCTTGATCCTTAAGTGCCCAGGGACCAGGGCCCCTAGTAGGTTAAGGACGGCCCTGCGTGATGTGCACAAGCCTTTAAGCAATATCATTGATTTAGTGCATGATAAGAAATTAGAGCCTAATAAATATCTACAGATACACAGACTCACGTGCAGACATAGATAATATGGTTTCATAGCTCTTTGATGACTTAGGTCAGTTTTTGGAGGCCACATAAGGTAAGGTCAGACCCAGCAATTACTAGTTCTAAGCATTTGTCACTGGATGCGTTCTGCAGTCTACTGCTACATTCACTTTGACATGACCTAAGAACACATCCAGTGTGGCAAATCCTTTAAGAAGGAATTCCAGTTATGACCATAAAAGAAAAAATAATAATTCTGATGAAACTGGTATTTCATACCATCCATAAAATTGTACTTATGTAAATTTTGGATCATATTCTAGTTAGAATTGGATTGAATTTTAAAGCAACATGGTACGGAACTGTTTGAGCATTTGAATGTTAGAACTGAGAAGAGAAGTGATAAACCAAATGAGGGTTTTCATGTCTTATAGTAAGTTATAACGAGAGTATGGCTGTGAGTTACGATCAGTGTGGAGAAGACGTTGAGGAGTAGGTAGGTATGCTAAAAGTGGAGGCGGTAAATTTTTCAATGCACTGCAACTTTTCAGATTTCCTCCTCACAGAACTATGGTGAAAGACATTTTCACAGCTCTGCTAAGTTTCACAATGCTAGGATGGATAGGTCAATGCGAAATTGTGAACTCTGTCAGTTTATAATATAACACGTGAGATTGTAAACAAACAGTGGGTTAGGTTAGGTTAGATTGTAATCTAACTACGTCAGATTATAATCTGACGGAATTCACAATATTACGGTGACAGATATATTTGGTGGAAAAGTAGCTTACTACTTCAATTGAAAAAAAACATACTTGAGCCATACCATGATATTATGGTGCAACATTTTACCTCACCCAATACGTGCTAACCACCATAAAAGGTCTTTACGTTTTTATGGAGAATTTCAAGACCAGTAATTTTTCCATACAAAATTTATGCTTAGTTTAAGCCCTCAGATTCTAAGCTTCCTTAAATCAGGAAGAAATTCATATCACAGAACAAACTATATTTGACGATTTAAACATTCTAATAAGTAAAATTTTAAATCCTTGATACTTATTTATTTTTAAATGAAAAAACAAATGGAATAGAAAAATAATTGAATAAAAATTTTAACTAACTAGTTAATAACGTAAGTAATTTTTAAAAAATCTTAAAATGACAATCCAATACAATGCAATTTAATTCCTTTACAAGACTGCAAACATTAAATATAGTTTTGCACACTACAAATTAAGTATTCTAGTAGTGCATGCTATTTGATTACAGCCTTATATACTACTATTACTAGATTACATATTACATTACTAAGTAGGTATGACCTTGATCTTGTTAACAGAAACTTACCCGGGTCTGAGATGTTGGATATTTTGTTTATGAAACTGTCGGCGTAGTAACTATTCATCACATAGTTTGGTTGTTGCAGTTTTTCAAACAGTAACTTGAGTTTATTCTGAGTGCGAACACTCTCCATGGTTAAAGTTTTTTAACAAACAGTTACAAATTATTTTAATAAAACTTTTGAAAACTTAATACACTGTACACTAAGGCGGCTGAGGAAACTTAATTTAGTGGTGGTGCGAGCCGTGCACAGTACGAGCGAACATACCTAGGCAAAGTAAAAAATTTAAACGAAAAACCATGCGAAAGAATTCATTCAATAAACCAAATCCAAACCAACAACAAACTAAAGTGATGTGCAGACAGTTCAGACAGAAATTATCGATAAAAAAAAGGTTTTACTAATGTTTCAAGTAAACCTAAATGTCTAAACTTAAATCGTGTTTTTAAATAAACATTATTATTTTAGTTCCACGGAGTATAATGTTTCGTTCTATATGAATGATTTATAAATTATATTATTTTTCCTGCGACTTCGCTCGCTTGAATTTTGTTCATTCAAATCTATAAACACAAAAATACATACAACCGAACATAGAATCTCCTCCTTTTTTGTAGTCGGTTAAAAATAATAAAGGCCAGGGACCCGCTTACGCTAAAAATTTTCAACTACTACAACGCGACTGGACGGCGAACAAAAATATGCAAAGAATACTCATCATAGAGAAAAGTGATACTCATACTCCAAAATCCGTATCGGTTATCACGTATCGTATCGTTTTGACAGCTAGTTCAAATGAAGTTGCAACGTAACCGGAGCGGGGCAGTCATGAAGCTAAAGATCAAATGGAGGCCACACTTCGAATACCTACTTGAAGCACAACCTATATATCACTATCTCGCTCTCTGAGCAGACTCTCTCTTTCTAAAATATAAATTTGCTCAAAGTCAATTAAACTCAATGTATAATCTTTATTTCTTGACATAGGTATTTTTTTTTTAAATTTTTTTTAAATCTTTGGACAATTTCACACAGCGCCAGCTAGCCCCAAAGTAAGCAACTTAATGCTTGTGTTATGGGTGCTAGCTTAACGGATATACTACTTATATACTTTTTTTTTTTTAAATACATGAATATTATACATAGTCACACCCAGACCCGTCACAGAAATTAAAATTCATCATTTCAATTTCTGCCCAGCCGGGAATCGAACCCGGGACCTCTCGGCATAGTAGTCCGTTCTGAACCACTACACCAAACGGCCGACAAATCATTAAATAATAAGTGTAAATACTGGTAAAACGTTTTAGGAAGAAATTACTGTGAAAAATGTTTACAATGATCCAATGACAGAAATCACGAAATAAACATTTACGCGTGGAATCTTAAGCACAGAATAAGTAATAGTACAGGTACAGAAGGATTACTCCGCAAGACGATTTAAATAAATGCGAGTCTTGCTACGACGCGATACAGTGGAATTCAGCTCGAACAGCACTACGTACCTACAATTTTATTCACCTACAAGTTTTGTCTCTTTCTATCGCGTGCCTCTGAACTCTTCTTACGCTGTTAGGGTTGCTGTCTAGTAGTGTCTAGTAAAAAAATAATTAATCTACTTATTTGTTATGAGGTACGTATGTAGGTAAGTACGCATTCATTATGGAAAACCTTGGGAGAGGCCTTTGCCCAGCAGTGGACGTCATTTATTTTGGCTGAAACGAACGAACGCATTCTGAGCAGTAGTCATGGTAGGTTAAGTTCCTATACTATCCTAAGAATTATTGATTACCTACATGGTCAACATACCTTTCAGCATCTTTGGGAAGCGAAAAAAAAGATAAATCCGGTAGATTTCTTTTCGAATTTAAACACCCGAACGCCGCACAATAATATTTCTTTCTCTTTATGTCCATTTTTAAATAATACTTCGATCATAGAATTAGTTACTACAACGCACGCCAGCGTCCTGACGAGCGCGCGCGTGACACTCGACTGATATAATACCCGCCGGCGGGGCGCTTCGCTGTAGGTAATTATCGGATGTACCGCGCGGAGTGAGCCAGGCCTGTCTTAAGTCACTTCCGGGACACCACGTACTACCGCAACTACGCACTACAAAATTTTGCAGCATTTCTTGTGATAAAACAATGATTAGGTCCTGTAAAAAATCTCAAACGAAATTAACTGCATAGTAAACAACCGCCATGATGGGCCGGATTGGGCCGATGTTGCCACTTGGTACCGATTCTTCAGGAATTGGGATTGTAATTCCCTGATTCAACATTTTGTGATTTTTAATTTAACTAGGTAATCGTAGTTCAAATATTTAATTATTTATTTGTTTAACTTCTGATTTGGTTAGTGAATTGGCTATTTCGAAGAATTAACTAGGAGATTTATAAGGAGATAGCAATACTACAGTCCACACTAAAAAGAGAGGTCGGCTCACAGAGAGCGAGATAGAGATAAGTAGGTATTTGACTCAAGTTTTTGTTCCAAGTGTGGCTTCCATTTTTATCTTTAGCTTCATGGGAGCAGTTCACCAAAAAAAAAACGTATCCGGAGCGCAACTCATGAAGCTAAAGATAAAAATGGAGGGCAGAGTTGAAACAAAAACTTGAGTCAAATACCTACTTATATCTATCTCGCTCTCTGCGGCCCTACCTCTCTTTTTAGTGTGAACTGTAGTATTGCTATCTTCTGATTTAAATCTCCTTGTAAATTCTTCGAAATAGCCAATTCACNTACAATCCCAATTCCTGGGTAATCGGTACCATGTGGCAACATCGGCCCAATCCGGCCCATCATGGCGGTTGTTTACTATTTTGTTTATTAAGCAGTTAATTTCGTTTGAGATTGTTTACAGGAAATAATCATTGTTTTATCACAAGAATTGGTGCAAAATTTTGTAGTGCGTGGTTGCGGTAGTACGTGGTGTCCTGGAAGTGACATAAGATTCCACGCGTAAGTGTTTATTTCGTGATTTCCGACATTGGATCATTGTAAACATTTTTCACATTTTTTACAGTAATTTCTTCCTAAAACGTTTTACCAGTAATTACACTTATCATTTTTAATGATACCTATGTCAAGAAATAAAGATTTTACATTGGTTTCATTGAATTTGAGCAATTTTATATTTTTTGTTTATTTAGAAAGAGCGAGTCTGCCCACAGAGAGCGAGATAGTGATACTTAGTTTGTGCTTCAAGTAGGTATTCGGAGTGTGGCCTCCATTTTTATCTGTAGCTTCATGGCGCAACTGCATCCTTACGTAAAAGCTGTCAGAAAGGTACTTTTTCTCAAACGTACCTAAGTCATACGCATCAGGAACATAATGCTGTGTTTTTAATAATTTTAGTTTCAAAACTAAGGCGTTTTTTAATGGAAATTCCATAAATCTGTTGTTTCGTCTGTTAGCGCGTGAACTTACTGTGATACCAAATTCCACATTCAGCTGGAATTCCAGCAATAAGGGTCCCTAAGTAGAGGACATGTGGACTGTGGCATTGTGGCGTGGACCGCGCGTTGGTTAGAGCAGCAGGAGCCCGACCATTTTTGTTCTAAGATAATATTATGTTCCCTGGGGACAAACATTTCATTCAGTGGCAAGGTATCTGATTCCAATTAGACGTTAAAAAGTCTATTATTACTTAATTAAACTAATCTTATTCGGCGGTCTCGCTAAGTAAATACTATGACTTAAAGTTTCTTCAGACTAATAATAGCGAGATGCGACATCTAGAATTCTAGATCAATTACAAATTTAAAAGTTTGTTTTATACTTCATAAGGGATAAAAGTATAGTAAATACTTATGTGACAATAACTATCGATAATATAATTGAATTGTATGACAACCCTACTAAAAATAGTTGCACAGATTTACAAACAAACTGTCATTTAAGCCAATGTCACCTGTCACAATAATTGTCTATGGTTGGTTATGGTTAACCATAGAGTCATAGCGGCACCGTGAATACCGTGATCCATAAATCGTGAAAAAAATAGTTTTACGTAACAATAGCTATTGCATTATTTGGTATGTAATTTTTTGTGCAAAACTGGAGTTGTACAGAGACGTAAATATAAAATTAAAAAATATGTGTTTTAAAAAAAAGATTGACAAACTGTGGAGGAATTTGTGATTGTTCTAGAATTTGTGCCGAGTGCAGGGTACGGAAACTTCCATACTACGATCAAACTTGCTTCCAAACAGCGACTTCAGTCGATAAATTCCAATACTTTTTTTTTTTCTTTATGGCTCTCGCGGATTGCGTTTAGCCACGACAGGGTTCTTGATTTTTGCGTTCAGTTTTGCCATAAGTTTTGCGGACATTGCGTTTAGACAGGGTGGGATTGGGTTAAAGTTAAAAGGTAGGGAAACGAATCAATTACGGATGGAAACGGAACAAAGGATGGTTTTCATAGGATCAATTTAGGTGTGATATAATTACAAAATAATAAAAATAAAATAATATTTACATAAGTACAATATACATTACTATTAGAGATTGCAATCCGGATTATTCGAAATTCGAAAATATCTGAAAAATCCGGATTTTGAGGCTATAAAAAAATCCGGATTTTGACTTTGAAATCCGGTTTTTTCGAATATTTTACCCCAAAAAATTTATCATAAAATCATAAACCAAAATATCTATTGAATGCAACATGGATGCAAAACAAGCGAAGTTTTGATTGAACTTCGTCGCACAATAACGCGATATGCCGCATGCGTATTTTATGTGAATTCGNCATCGGAGTTTTGTTCGTTCCTTCGTGAATCGCGAAGAAACTTTCTGTTATGTTAACAAGTGATCTGAGTTTTCTCAAAGTGCAAATGCTTTTTTAGTGTTGTTGAAAACTTTGCGAAAAGACGCTTTTGGTGTATAATATTATGTGTGTTCATAAATAAAGTAAAATTATTAAATTGAAAAGTTTTTGTTTATTTGCATTTCCATGTGCAATGTAGAATTTTTCCAAATCCATTGTTTTGAAAATAATACAATACGTACACCATAAAGATAAATACTTTCAAAATAATGGATTTGAAAAAATTCTACATTGTACATCAAAAAAACAATAATTCTTTGAAGGTTATGAGGGCCTATGTGTGCGTGAACTGTGTGTATGTGTGCGTGGACTTTATGTATGTATGTGTGCGTGTACTATGTGTGTATGTGAGCGTTACGTACGTAGGTTAAGTACAGCGAATTTAACACCAGGCTGTCAATTAGTAGGCTCAAAAATTTGACAGAGAGGGTTCTCTATTTCCTATGTATTACTTTTCTCTATGGCCGAGTGTCTTTGTCAATTTTGCAGAAAAATCGTAAATTGTGCTTGTGAAACCCGTGTTTCTCATTATTATTGTTG